TAATTAGCGTAGGGAAAGTTATGTAAAACTACGCGAAAAAACGGCGAATTTTCAGCAGAAAAAATTCATTGTCGGATCCTGTTTAACATTATTTTCGATAGATATATATTTTTAAATGTTTGTGTTTCAATTTCTTTTTTTGGTAAATAATTCAATTTTACTTCTTTCATTTTTTAATATTTCAATTAAGAATACATTTACTGTCAGTAATTACTGGAAACACAAATTTTACTTTAGAATTCACCGATACTTAAAATGTCGGTAACATTTCCTTGATACGAATAGACGTATTCAAGAACTACATTTCACATGTAGGTAAATACAGAATGTTAAGAAAGTTCACTCTTACAGTTGTACTGTATACTTGTAAGTGTAGGTCTTTTGATATAAAATTTACAAAAAAATACATTTGAGCTAAGTAGAAAAGATGTTGAATTTGATTTCCCCATTTTGAGATAATGGGCATAAACGGGTTAAAATTATTCTAATCGTAATGTGTTAAATTTTTTTTTATCCTTTTAATACAAAACAAAAACTTTTATGTTTAAATAAATATTCTCGGATTTGTACGTCATTTTATCTGCATTTCAAATTAAATCATAGTTTCTATCATGCTCTTTCCGTAGAGATTCATTTGATTTTCATTAGTCGCTATGTTCCCAGACGCATGCTTCGGAGACCTGTTTAGTGCTGCAACCTGGCAACACAAAACAGAACTAAGAGAAGAAGCTTCGACATGAAAACATTCGTTCAGAGAGTCACAACAAGAGCGCGCTGACAAGTTATGACGTATACTTTAACCTCGATTACTACGACATACACAGTCGTTCCAATGCGTAACAAATAAAGAAGGGCATTACGTCATCAAATATGATTCACCAAGATTCTACGTATTCATGCACCAGTCATGTAAGACAAGTGTATATGATCATGCACATGATTCTGCTGGAGCATTTTGTTGATGAGCTAGTCGCGAAGGACCGGGTTGGTATGACACAGAGGTTTACGTTTACTGTATAAACTGTTATGAATGAATGAAGCACCCGCCCTAGTTGCGTTGAAAGGTTAAAAGAAGCAAATGAATGGGAATACATGGCTTGCACCCAACGTTACAAATACCAACGTGCGTTCAGACATTCAACTTCCTAAACACCCTGCCTGACTGACCATTCAACTAAATTAGGAACAAATTGGGGACTTGTTTTCTCAATAGTATTTGAAGTTTTCACCAAAACGAAACCCCTTGATTTTTTTTCACTCCGCTGCACTGTGTTCTAGATTTGCAAAGATTGGAGTTAACTACAATTTATCATTTCTGAACATAGGACACATCAAATTATTAGATAAATATTGTAATACTACATTTAAATTAATACAAAACTCAAGAGTACTGTAGTTTTACGCGTCTAAACATGGAGATGCTTCCCTTAACTCTGAAACATTGCCCTCATCAGCTTTAGTGAATCAGTAATTTTATACGGAAGAATTTACTTACCCTCCCCCCTTCAAATGGAAAGGACCTCCAAATATGTTTTATCTATAATCGACACAACACACGCTCACCGATCTAATCGTACATGAGAACGATTTGCCCACGAGACACAACACTCAATCACCGATCTAATCGTACATTGAGAATACAAAAACGTTTTTCGGAACGTTGTTCTTCCGACGTACTTTACAAATTGAACCATTTCAGAGAAAAACAAGGGCATTTGAAGACTCAGAAGATGCAATCCCACCAAGAAGATACTTTGTGTAAATCATTGTCATATATGAGCTTCTCAGAGGAATCATGTAATTCATCTTGTAATTAATCTAATTTTACTTGTTTAATGTATTCGCTTCAGCTTCTGAGAGAAGAGTAGAAAGATTTCGGAGTAAAAAGAATGAGGATCTAAACACACACACACACATCAGAATGTGTGCATGAATGTGAGCTGACTGTACGACCGTGGTGCGTGTGGGAGAACGTACGAACTGCGAAAGTGCTTTTGTGTGAGTGCATTCGTGTTTGTGTGTGCATGTGTGATTGTGAGAATGTGGTTGTGAGTATTCTTTTGTATGAGTGTGTGCGTTCGTGCATAGGTACATGAATACGTGCGTGCGTGTGTGTGAATACTCACGGAGCCGTGAAGCGCCTCAGTGACCACGTAGCTTCCGGCCAAGCCGCCTGCAGCGCCCAGGGTCTGGCTCAGCCCGAACACAGTGCCTGCGCATGCGCCAGACATTACTTGTTTACTGTCATTTTGCTTTCGTTACCTGTAATTTAGGATTATTTGTAAATCTTCAATCGTTCGAGAAGTGAAGGATAAAACAGGATATCTCATGACTCTCAGTTTACAATCAGAGGTAACCAATCGTTATCACTAACATTCACATCTCCGTTGACTGAATTTAAAGCTATTCATGAAGAGATGGGTGATAATGGTGCAAATATTAGCCCTTCTTAGAAATTAAACAGATATCATGAGCTTGGAGATTTAGTTTGGCATGCAATACATCAGAGGAATATTTCCTCTCAATTTACAGCAGTTTCGCGTGGATAAACGTTGAGTTAGATTGCATTTAGGAAAGATCAACGTTGCTGACGAAAAAAAACTAGTAGGAGAGAAGATTTGACATCAATCACTAGAAGAATTAAAAATAATTGCAATGTAGGAGGACGGTGTATCATTTTATTTATTTGGAGCAAATTTTGACACACCTCTATTAGGGTGGAATTTGTAAAAATTTATATAGCACGATTCTGTATTGGAAAACAAACGTGCACTTGTCTAAGTCACGTCATGACTCATTAGAGTCAACTTTTAATCATAACGGACAAGAGCACCGTAAGTAATTGAGATTTTATTGCAAGGGTGCCGCAATGGGATTCGAAATCGCAAACCGTCTGACATAAGTCAAGCAGAAAGCCACCTCATCCATTATATTTTTTATTAACGACAAACGAATATTTAACTATGAAACAAATAATATGTACAACGAGGAGAATGAAATTATAACTTCAATGATATATCAATAGAAACAATTGATTTTATGCTCAACAATTAACAGGGTTGCAAAATGGACTGGATATCCTCTTTCACAACTGTTGTGAATCAATTCCCCAAATTGTAAGCTTAAAAATAGGAAAATCAGGAATTGATAATTTTTACGGAAATATCATGATTTATTGCGTACGGCACGGTGCTCCTTTCGAAATTTCCAGTAGGGCCACGGCCACCTTGCCTCCTCCCCTCCCCCCTCGTGCGTAGGCCTTGACTGCTACTGTCTTGCCACTGCCAGTAAAGTAAACGGCAGGTAATGTCCATACCAACGAGCTACAATATGCTGCATAGAGTGGCTGAAGCTCCTCCATTTTTGCAGTGAATTGAAGCCATGGTTTTTGCAGTCAAAGCAGCGCCCTCTGGATAATCGGAGTATTCTAGTATTCCGTATGGCGCTGGTTAAGACCGGGTGGGCGCGGTCCTCGCGTAATATAAATCCTCGTACTCTTGTTCACTACCAAAAACCAACATTTAAAAACGGAATGACAATATGTTAGGAGAACCAATTGAGAAACTTTAAAAACGCGTTGCTTCCTGCCTCAGTTACTGTCATAAGAATGGAAGCTGCTCAAATGTTACTGTAGTTACCGTAACGCCTGAAATTGAATGTTATTGCAATAAAAAGCAAACAAACAGATCGCAAATACGGCGGCAAACTTGAAAAGTGATATATTTGTGATTTGTTTACTTCTATTTTCATAGTTATACACCGAAGGTACTGAAGGCATTGTGAAACTGAAATAACCACTGAAATAATTTAAATACAGATAAACGAAAATATAACAATATAGAAATAAGATCTGATACAAACAACGCATCGATTCAGTACAACAGTTCTTCACGACACCATCAGGCACTTCTCATGTTTTGACTGCAAAAAACAAGGCGGGTCGTAGTTCGGCAAGGGTCCACCAAGAGCGCTGAAACCATAGATACAGCCACTCTATATACTGGGGCGGATCCAGGGTTGAATTTTGGGAAGGTAAATTAAAAATATTTTGTCCAATATGTCATATTACAGATATTGCAAAATGTCTGGCTACTCTCATCTCATGCTGCGATACAATTGTGTTCGTGTTAATGATAATCTGAAAATATGTTTGCTTCAAAGTCTCGTGACAAGTTAAAATTAATAGTTAATGAACAATTTTAGGGGGTGGGGAATTCCCTCATGTCCCTCCCCGTGGATTCGCGCCTGCTATGTAGTATATTCTAGCTGTTGGTCCATACACTCATATTTTTCAAATGCGTACGCTTACAGTTAGCGTATTTGTACACATTGCTCTCTCACTATCCCTTGCAATTTCATCGCCCTGCATCATTTGCTTCCCCTCCTGTCAACGCTGTCCCTTCGAGAACCCTCCGTAGGCGCAGAGGAAGGAGCACTGACCGGCGTAGTTGGGCGCGACGTCGATGGCGCTGGCGTGGACGCCGGCCGCGGTGGCGCCGCTGATGACGACGGCCGCCGTGTAGAGCGCTGCGGGCGCCGTGGGGTCGCACCCGCTGTACCCCACCACGAACAGCATGGCTCCGGCCGGGAAGTGCGCTGCGTTCCAACACAGCAAACACCCGATTATCACAAGTGGCTACTACTGCAAAAACCACACAGCCTGCCGAAATGGTTATAGATGTTTTGGTTGGTTACATTTTGGCAATAATTTTTCGATATAAAAAAAAAGGTTTTTCGACTTGCACTCGCACAACACACACAATGTCACAACTCGTTTATTTTTTGTTACATTTGTAACACGTCAACATTACATTAGTGAAATGTAACTTAATAGTTTTTAACTATAAATTTTATTTACTTCCTTTTCCAATAACCAATCATAATTATTTTCTACAAAGGCACTAGTAAAAGTAGTTTCTTTTAAGACATGCACAGAAAATTAAAAAATTAATTTTTAGCACTAAATCTAAATGTGAGACGATGCATATTCAGTTACGGCGACAAATATTCAGTTAAAACTATGGATGCAACACAAAACACTTTCGTCCTGTGATCAACAATGCTCTTAATGTAACATGGCTACCAATCACGTGACGCAAATTAAAATATATCTGAATTCGGTTTTTGGTATAGTTCCATAAAAAATAGCATCTTCATGAATGATGCTCCATTTTTAAAAAAAAAACTTCATTTTCTACCAAAATATGTGAATAACCCACCATCTATCCGAAAAGATAAATTCTTTCTCCCACGATTTCTCTACAATGCGTAGCTCTAACTCATAGCAATGGAAAATTAAATATGTGATGGAGCCAATGTAAATGCTTTAATTAGTATATTAATTTGTACAAAATGGATACCGTTATGGCTACCTGTTATTTATTTGTATTTAGGAACTACTAGGTTAATTGAGGCCCATGAGAGATGATTTAATGAGTACATGATAGTGACAGTAATGATGAGGTGAATGATGAAAGAGAAATGGTGAAATGAGAGGCAGGGGTACAGGAGAACTCTACGTACATTTTCTCAGAGTGCAATTACTCCACCAAAAATTCCATAAGGGTTGGACGGAGATCGAACCAGAATCTTAGTAATAGAAGGCGTATGTCGTTACATCGCCAGCTCCCCTCTTCTGGCAATTATTATATGGCGAATATTTACAAACTCTTTTCAGTAATTAGAATCACTGTACCTCCCTCTTGACGCCGCTGTTTAATTAGTTTCATTTTGCACCCTTTGAAATTTACCTCTGAATTTCCCACTCATACCAATTATCATGATCGGTGTCATCAACAGGATTTCAAGGCCTTCAAACGACAGTTCCAGCCGACCGCGTGACCACAACGCGGACTGAATCACGTCTTGTTAGCGCTCGGAACCGCAGAGAAGAACTTGCCCCGGGCGCTGGTTTGCCATTACCTCACCTCGCGCCTCGTCTCGCGCATGAAGGCAGCCGAGCACCCGCTTCCGTGTGGCGGAAGCACCTTTCCCTCCTTACTCTGGCGGCAGCGTCGGCAAAATACGCATTTCTCCCTCTCATTCTTCTACTCCTCCTACCCATTTTTCTTCCCCTCCTCCTCCTCCTCCTCCTCCTTCTTCTTCTTCTTCTTCGCCTTCTTCTTCTTCTTCGCCTTCTTCTTCTTCTT